GTCAATATCATTCCTACTTGTTCCTCTCACCAGGCATGTGACGTCAATATCATTCCTACTTGTTCCTCTCACCTGAGGCATGTGACGTCAATATCATTCCTACTTGTTCCTCTCACAAGGCATGTCACGTCAATATCATTCCTACTTGTTCCTCTTACAAGGCATGTCACGTCAATATCATTCCTACTTGTTCCTTTCACAAGGCATGTTACGTCAATATCATTCCTACTTGTTCCTCTTACAAGGTATGTCACATCAACATCATTCCTACTTGTTCCTTTCACAAGGCATGTGACGTCAATATCATTCCTACTTGTTCCTCTCACAAGGTATGTCACATCAATATCATTCCTACTTGTTCCTCTCACAAGGTATGTCACGTCAATATCATTCCTACTTGTTCCTCTCACAAGGTATGTCACATCAATATCATTCCTACTTGTTCCTCTCACAAGGCATGTCACGTCAATATCATTCCTACTTGTTCCTCTCACAAGGTATGTCACATCAATATCATTCCTACTTGTTCCTCTCACAAGGCATGTGACGTCAATATCATTCCTACTTGTTCCTCTCACAAGGCATGTGACGTCAATATCATTCTTACTTCTTCCTCACACAAGACATGTCACGTCAATATCATTCCTACTTGTTCCTCTCACAAGGCATGTAACATCAATATCATTTCTACTTGTTCCTCTCACAAGGCATGTGACGTCAATATCATTCCTACTTGTTCCTCTCACAAGGCATGTCATGTCAATATCATTCCTACTTGTTCCTCTCACAAGGCATGTGGCGTCAATATCATTCCTGCTTGTTCCTCTCACAAGGCATGTGACGTCAATAACATTCCTACTTGTTCCTCTCACAAGGCATGTGACGTCAATATCATTCCTACTTGTTCCTCTCACAAGGCATGTCACGTCAATATCATTCCTACTTGTTCCTCTCACAAGGCATGTGGCGTCAATATCATTCCTACTTGTTCCTCACACAAGACATGTGGCAGTAACATTATTTACTTTACTTTTTCACGTTATTCACATTCAATTTAGCAAAATATATATAACTATAGAATAATGTCTATCAAGAATTGATGTTTATGGATGAACATATGATTGTTTATATTATCATGCACTGATCGTAAATAAGGTATAAAACATATTTTTTTGATAAATGCAATAAAATATTGGACAGTATGCTTTTATTTCTTTGCCTTAGAGAGATACAAAGATTTGCTTCCCCAAGTACATCCATACTTTCCCGAGAGTATCACCACAGTGGGATATAACTGCTCTGCCTGAGACAAGGAAAACAAATGTTTTATGGTCTGCCTACAATAGTAGAGGGTCATGATGTTTTCTTGTTTGTGCGTCTGTCCCAGTATCAAGTTAACGTTTTGAAAGAAACATGTAGTTTGTGATCACATCAACTTGAAACTTAGTTAATATATATAATTGAGAATTGAAACGGGGAATGCGTCAAAGAGACATCGACCAGACCAAAAAGCATAAAACAGCCCAAGGCCACCCATGGGTCTCTAACACAGCGAGAAAATCCTGCACCTAGAGGCTGCTTCCGCTGGCCCCTAAACTATAATGTATACAAATTCAGCTATATTGGACGTCACACTAAAATAAACTATCAGTATTCACAAAGAGTGGATTAATAAAAGGAATTAAATAAATGGACAGCATATCACGTAATTACGTATTGAAATGTTTTTTTGCAAGTACAAACTGATGGACGCCACTAGTGAATCAATAATTGTTCTCATGGATATTTGATGAGATTTGTGCTCTATCTGCAGTTTTATGTTTAATGTTTTTAATGGACTTTTGTTTGTCTTTTTATGTTGACTCTGACGACACTAAGGGGAAGTTGAATTGCTGAAATCCAGCCATCCGCTCAACTGGATTATACAGTAAAAGTAGTTTTTGGCATATTAGTACATTGACACATAGACAGATGGACACATTGACCAGTTGACCTATGAACAAATCAACATATTAATCCGTTGACATCTTGCCACATTGACAGATCATCATATCAAAATTGAGGTATCAAAAGAGTATCAAATTAAAACATTGACACATAGAAATATCGACACATTGACCAGTTGACAAATTAACAAATTGACATATTAATACATTGACAGTTCAAAAGCTTTTTACACATCGACACATTGAGAGATCTACAAATTGACATATCGACAAATTGACAGATCAACACAGTAACAGACACATTGACATATCCACACATTGACAGATCAACACAATAACAGACTCATACATCGACACACAAACAAATTCACACACTGACAGGTCAACACCTTTACAAATTCATACATCAGCACATTGACATATCGACTGACATCAACACATTAACAGATTCATACATCAACACATTGACATATCGACACACTGACAAATTAAAAGAATAACAGACTCATACATCAACTCATTGACATATCGACACATTGACAGATCAACACATTAACAGATGCATTCATCAACACATGGACATATAGACAAACTGACATCCATTCATTAACAGATTCATACATCAACACATTGACATATCAACACACTAACAGATCAACACATTAACAGGCTCAAACATCAACACATAGACATATTGACACACTGACAGATTCATACATCGGCTCATTGACATATTGACACACTGACAATTTAAAAGAATAACAAACTCATACACCAACACATTGACATATAGACACACTGACAGATCAACACATAGACATATTGACACATTCATACATCGGCTCATTGACATATTGACACACTGACAAATCAACATATTACCAGACTCAGACATCAATATATATCGAAACACTTACAGATTAACATATTACCAGACTCAAACATCAACACATTGACATATCAAAACACTGACAGATCAACACTTTAATACACATACATCATCATGCTGATAGATCAACACATTAACAAGCTCATACATCAACACATTGAAATATCGAAACACTAACAGGTGAACAGTTTAACAGACTCTTATATCAACACATTGACAGATAAACACATTAACAGATTCATAAATCAACACATTGACATGTCGACACACTGACAGATCAACATAACACATTGACATATTGTCACATTGACAGATCTACACATTAATAAACTCAAACATCAACACATTGACGCATCAACACACCAACAGATCAACACACTAACAGACTCAAACATCAATACATTGACATATCGATACACTGACAGATCAACAAATTAACAAACTCAAACATTAACACATTGACATATTGACACACTGACAGATGAACACAGTAACAAACTCATATATCAACACACTGACAGATGAACACATTAACAGACTCATACATTAACACATTGACATGTCGACACTCTGACAGATCAACACATTGACATGTTATCACATTGACAGATCTACACACTCAAACATCCAGACATTGACGTATCAACACGTTAACAGACTCAAACATCAACACATTGACATATCAATACACTGACAGATCAACACATTAATAAACTCAAACATTAACACATGGACATATCGACACACTGACAAATCAACACATTACCAGACTCGGACATCAACATATATCGAAACACTTACAGATTTACATATTACCAGACTCAAACATCAACACATTGACATTTCGAAACACTGACAGATCAACACTTTAACACACATACATCATCACACTGATAGATCAACACATTAACAGGCTCATACATCAACACATTGAAATATCGAAACACTGACAGATGGACAATTTAACAGATTGATACATCAACACATTGACACATTGACACACTGACAGATGAACACATTAACAGACTCATATATCAACACACTGACAAATCAACCAATTAAGAGATTCATAAATCAACACATTGACATGTCGACACACTGACAGATTAACACATTGACATATTGTCACATAAATAGGATCAAACATCAACACATTGACATATCGATATACTGACAGATCAACACATTAACAAACTCAAACATTAACACATTGACATATTGACACATTGACAGATTTACACATTAACAGACTCAAACATCAACACATTGACGTTTTGATTCACCAACAGATCAACACAATAACCAACTCAAACATTAACACATTGACATATCGACACACTGACAGATCAACACATTGACATATTGACACATTGACAGATTTACACATTAACAGACTCCAACATCAAGACATTGACGTATCGATTCACCAACAGATCAACACGATAACCAACTCAAACATTTTCAAATTGACATATTGACACACTGACAGATCAACACATCAACACTCATACATAGACACACTGACAGATCAACATATTACCAGACTCATACATCAACACATTGACATATCAACACACTAACATATCAACATATTAACAGATTCAAACATCAATGCATTGTCATATTGACACACTGACAGATTAACACATTAACAGACTCATACATCAACACATGGACATATCAACACATTAATAGACTCATACATCAACACATTGACATATCGACACTCTTGACAGATCAAAACATTAACATACTCATTTATTGTTTTAATGACAGAAAGAGCACTGGCGGCGTACTTCTAATTAAGGCCATTAAGACCACTGTGACATTACAGGAAATATGTCACAAGGCATTGCTGTATATCACACATCTCCTGTATCATACGAATAAGACCACTGTGACTTTATAGGAAATATGTCACAAGGCATTGCTGTATATCACACATCTCCTGTATCATAAGAATAAATATCTATCCTTGTCTAATAGTATTATTTAAGATAAATCTGTTGAAACAAAACATTTTTCAAGATGAAGAAAATTTATCTTTGTCAGTGTCCAGTGTCAGAGACAAATAGTGGAGAAATTATCTACGATTGTGTGTAAGCATACATTTTTTTTCACAAACATGATGAAATTTAAACTTTCAAACTTAATTTTTTTTTCAGATTCCATCGGAAAAGGGCAACAGTCTGCTATGTTAAATCGTTTATTAGGGAAGGGCAGCTATGAATCATTTGATATGAGATGCATGGTGACCGGCCAATTTTCAGTAGGGAAATCGACTCTTGTGAAGCTGTTAGCTGGGGATGTCATACCAGATGGGCGACATCCGACTGATGGAATTTCTTTGGTTGAAGGTCGCTGTGGCCTTGATATTGAGACAAAAAGTTGGATTCTTATTGATCCAGGTGAGAAAAGGCATAAGTAGAAACATCTGACCATATTTCAAAAAACACTGTTGTGTGGCCTGCTCGCTGTGTTTTATCAGCAGACTTTAATAGCATTGTTTTGAATAGTATCACATTGAAGCCATATATTTCGTTACTTCTTTCCAGGCACCAATTTAATTCAAGGTGTAATACCCCAATTGATTTTCCTCTATTAATCTTTGTTAAATTTGCATTTTTCAAAAAATTGTGCAGAATTTATCTTTGTTTCAAATAAATAAATATTTGGCATGAGTAAAGTTTTATCCTGTCAGGAAATATTGACAAAATTTCACATAACATTTCATTGCATATAAGAAAATAACCATCACTGGAAGTTAACCAATCATATTTTCACCCCTTTTTTTACCTGTGTTCATGCTTTAGTAACAATGTAACCTCAATTTTCCAAAATATTCAAATAAAATAAAAATAAAAAAATAATGGTGCTTTGAAACACCCAAGATATATGTTTATGACATAGACATTTTTTACTGCAATGAAATGTAGGATTAATTTCCTACAACTGTCAAATTCAAGGGAATATTTTTTTTCGACCCTTTTTCGTATGCAACCAGATGTGATGTACTATGATTTGGTGGTATTACACTTCAATATTGAATCTTATTTGTGAATGAAAATCTTAACATTATTATTTTACTTATTAAAAGGAATCTAAAGTCATATGAAACTTCAAATTTAAAAAAAAGTTAAACATGTTTTATATACTTGAATGGCTAAGTTTTACTCTAAAAGAAGTGAACGTGAACTGTTATTTTCGAAAAAAAATCCTTTATATTAGCCAAATCTTCATAAATGTACCGATATTGAATTATTGGCTTCCCAGACACTACTTCGCCGACATTTTCCTGTATGCAGTGACCTTAACTGCAAGACCTCTCGTTATAGCTTCGGCCACTGCACAGCTCAAGTGTGAGGGGAAACCGTGATGAAAGAATGTAAACACACGTGCCCTTGAAGGTAAATAAAAATAACAGGTTCTTAAAGAACAAATTTAATACAACAAATCATTTAACAACTGTCAAGGCTCCTTTAATTCACTTATATGTTGCGTTTTTCACATGCTCTGTTTTTATTGTTTATCAATATCAAGATCCGGTAAACTTATAAAATATAATTTCAGAAGCTTATAATGCCCTGGATGTTGTGTACAATAAGGTGTTAATGACCTCTCTGGAAGAGGAGGAAAGTGAATTTACCAAAAAGTTCGACCAGGCTTCAGATACAAGCCCAACTGGTTATGCCAAAGCCACACTTTCCTCTTTGCCCTCCGAACAGTCGGCAGCAGCACAATCTCTACCACCTCAAAAATCCTCCAATGTGCCTCTCATGGTAAAACAGATGAAAGAGAAAATGAAAACCAGAATGACCAAAGAAGAAATAAGAAGGAAAATGGAAAAAGTCCTCAAAAGTGGGAAGTATAAGATGAAAGTTGGACGTCTTATCTTCTGGGATTTTGGTGGACAATATGTTTATTTAACAACACACCAGACCTTCATGACGTTCCGAGCGTTATTTCTTGTTGTCTTCGATGGGAGCAAAGATTTGCATGAACAGGTCCCTGATGTGATGTGTTTTCCAGGGCAGCACATGACACCAACTCCAGCAGGTAATACAAATACATGTTATTTACAGATCTAGTCTATTTATGTAACAGCAAGGCAATTATTTAAAATTATAGAAACTTGTCCTTTCAAAATATCTTAGCAAACCTAAACATTTACGTAATTTATTTCCTTGTTACCATAGTTTGTCCCCAACCACCATATTAACATTAATATGTCTCGCATCTAGCAGCATTGTTGTTAGGTAAGACAATAATATTGCATTCAAAATTTATCAAAGATACCAGGCGTAAAGTTTTGAACACCAGAAAACTCTGTTGTGCTTTCCTCTAAATTTCTTTAGATTTTGAAAGTGTGTTTAATTCTCTAAAAAAATAAGCTGATGATTTCTAACTTCTAACTATCATAAGCATACACAGTGTATGCTACGGCGGGGGCATTAAGTTTTATCTTGTCCGTCCGTCTGTACGTCCCAAAGTTGGTTTCCGTTCTTTAACTTTAGTTTGCCTCAACCAAATGTTATGAAACTTATACACAATGCTTATTACCACAAAACATACCTGTCAACCTATGAAAATGACCTGCATTGAAGAATAAAATCTCAGGTCATTACGCGTACAAACTTTTTCCAGCTGAATTTAAGTATTTAGGGGACATTTTTTTTATATATTTGTTATTATATTTCAAAACAAACAGTTTCTAAACATGTTCCAATGATTAAGTATTAACTGAAAATAATTTAAAACTATTATTGTTGAATTGCACTTATGATTTTGATGGATTAATGTTTCATAAAATACTTAAACAATACAATCCAAACCATAACCTTTTTTTTATTATGATCAATTGACCAGTCATATGTCACTCAGTGTGCTTCTATCTGTACAGCTTTTAACATTTACTCAAATATATATGGAAGTTTTTAACGACCTTGACTGGCTATACAGCCCTTTCACGGTCGTTATTCAAAAAAAATTGATGTTAGAATATAATAAAATAAGCTAAACACTTAAAGGAAGTAGAGATGAAAAAAATAATTTTCAACTATTTATTTTCTTATTGTACTAAGGTAGAAAAATAATGAAAAGTAATATTCTAATATGTATTTGCATTCAATTTGTTTTAGATTTTATCTTTTTTACAAAAATTAACATAAATTTAAGGAGCATATTTTGAAAGGTGACAAAAAAGGGGAAGTTACTCAAATTTTTTGTGAAAAAACTTTGAAATACACAAATTGTTTATGACTTAAAGCTAAGGTAATTGGTGTTAATTAACAGTGTGTTTGACACCAAAGCTGTCAAGTGAAGCCATGCACTGAAATGGATCACTTAATTTGAGTTTACACAGCTAGTTGAACTTCTTGTCCAGGAAGAATTACAAATTTGATGGTATTTCAAAGAAAATCACTTATGAAATCAATCTGAAGGCTTAAGAATCCGGGTAAAAACGGATCATTTTCGGAATTTTCAGGTTATTTAACGACCTGGCGGGTATCCGGGGTGACCCCTCATGGTTGTAAAAATCTTGGGTCACACCCGCAGGATACAGGTCAGATGACAGGTATGACTAAATACAGATAAAGTTTGAATTTTGTTTAATGTATGAATGTCAACATACTGAACTGAGCACATTTATATACACCTGTCTTTGGAACGTCATAGCCAAATTATGTTTTACGGCATCTGGGCCCATTTTGTCAGACGTTGTCACATATACACCTGTCTTAGACAGAACATAGCATATCGTATGTTGTAGTCTGTCGGTCTATCCATCAACATTTCATACAAAAAGTAAAATGTGCTTTAATCAGTTCTCATTTTAACCTAAGTTTGGATTGAAGGAATAAAGGTCCTTTCTGATTTACATGATTTTCAAATTTTATCATATCAGAGTTATGTTTACTACAAATTGGACATTTTTTCATGCCCCCGCCATAGCAGAGGGGGCATTAAGTTTTACCCTTGTCCGTCTGTACATCCGTCCGTCCTTCGTCCGTACGTCCCAAAGTTGGTTTCAGTTCTCTAACTTTAGTTTGCCTCAACCAAATGTTATGAAACTGATACAGAATGATAATTACCACAAAACACAGATTGAGTTTGAATTTTGGTGGCATCACTATAACCGTTCTAGAGTTATGCCTCTTTCCAATGGAAAAATTGTTGAATTTTTCGTTTCCTTTCTCTAACTTTAGTTTGCCTCAAACAAATGTTATGAAACTTATACACAATGCTTATTACCACATAATACAGATCAAGTTGGAAACTGGGTGGTGTCGCTTTTACCATTCTTGAGTTATGCTCTTTTATAAACATAAAAATTGCTGAATTTTTCGTTTATGTTCTCTAACTTTAGTTTGCCTCAACCAAATGTTATGATCTTATACGCAATGCTTATTACCACATAATACAGATCAAGTTGGAAATTGGGTGGCGTTTATTTTACTGTTATTGAGTTATGCCCCTTTATAAAATTAAAAATTGCTGAAATTTTCTATCCGTTCTCTAACTCTAGTTTGCCTCAATTAAAATAAAAGAAACTCCATTTCAGTGTTCATCATTTTCACTTTTGTCATTTCAGTGATGGGATTTTATTCCTAAAACATTTAACATTTTACACAAGTATACCATAACCTTGACCCCTGTTGTGTTCACTTATCGCTACACTAACAACAGGTACAACCTGAATCCAGCGGTCAGCATTGGGTCTGCGTGATTTAATAATTTAGACGAGACTAGTGCATCATATGATGTGTTTTGTATGTAATTAATATACTGACAAGAACTCAAAAGAGAAATCAGCACATTCCTATACCTATTGAGTTCTCAAGGCAATGAAAGATACCGGCTCAGTTTGTCAAGAATATGATAACACTCTCGTGGGGCATTTATCTGCGCTGCCACCATGGAGTTAATTAACAGTTATTTATTTAATTTGCGGCATTGCATTATTATCATTTGAGGTCAAGTTGTTAAAAGTTCCTGTCAATATAGTTGGTCAATTTCGTAGCAAATCTTTGAATGTGTAAGGCTCGTCCAATTAATGCCAAGGTGACAATGGCTCCAACTCATTCCTTTGGTGCAGATATTTAGATGGAATGGCGGACCAGTTTACACATACCACATACTAAGTCTAGTATTCTTAGATTGATTTCCACAACAGTCAGGATTCTACTTTATGATCCTTATATGCAACTTATATTTTAAAAGACAATTTTAACTTCTAGTTATTGAGCATCATTCAATGTACTTTTATGCATTTAGTCAACTTCAACTGTGGTGTGAAATATTAGTTTGTATACATTTTAATTGTATGCAGGTCTCTATGCATTGTTAACCTATTTTCTATGTGCCTTCCTTTGATATCATCCACCCTGTAATGAAATAGACTGATGAAAAATTACAACAATGTAGTTTATAGATATAGACAAAAATATTTGTCCCTTTGAATTTAGACAGACTCCTACCTCAAGGAAAACTGTTATCAGCTGTTTAAGTGAATGAGCTTGACAAGTATTCAGCAATATTTTTTAGTCCCCTACCAACGAAGTCGAAGGGGACTTTAGGTTTGCACTCGGTCCATCTGTCTGTCTGTTCATCCGTCAGTCCAGCAAATCAGTTTTCCACACCATTTTTCTTCATGCTTGAAGATATTGTTTTGATATTTGATATATTGTTTTATCATTACAAGTTACAGATCAAAATCGAATTTTGTTCCCTTCTGATAATTTTGTGCAGAGTTATGGTCCTTTGACCTAGAAAATTCACTTAAATAAACAGTTTTCCACACATTTTTTCAGCATGCATGAAGATATTGACTTGATATTTGTTATATACTTTACACCATGACAAGTTATAGATCGAATTACCATTTTGTTCCAGTCCAAAATAATGTTTAACCGGTGGGGGATTATGTATTGCCATGCAATAATCTCAGAATGCTTGTTTAATAAGGTGTTATTAAAAGAGACAATGGAAAACTTATAGTGTATCAAAACTATAAGAAATGCAGAATGATTAAACTTCTTTTATGACAGATTTTGATTTTTTTTCAGTATTCTTGCAATATTGGGTCAATTCCATCCTGACCTATTGCAAGGTTGTATATCCAGGCATTCCTAAGATCTTGTTTGTTGCCACTCACAAGGACAAAGTACCAAAGGTGAGTGATCTAATGTTAGCTATATAATAGTGATTTATTGCCATTTGAAACACTTGAAAAATGTGTAAAAACTGCCTCATTAGAGCTTTTATGCTTACATAATGATGTCATGCCCATATGTCTTAACTTGACCAAACTTTGTGTGAAACTACACTTTTGAAAGAACAAGATCCCTATTGATTTTGGGTAATACACTAAAGATCAGATTATGGGTCATAAATAGAGTAGAAGATAATTATGAAGAACTACTAATAGATAAGTAAATGATATTTGGTATGCTCTTGTATCAATATTCCATTTGATATGTACATCTCATTTCAGTGGAGATTATTTGGTCCTGCCACTCTCAGTCATGGTCTATTGACTTAAAACAATTGCTCATTTTAAATGTTAAAGTTTGTATTTAAGTCAGTTTTATTTCAACAAATATGTTGTCAATAAGAAACTCTAGCATTTAGTAGAACTGCACCAGATGCACTTCTCAACAAGTAATGTCTCTTCAGTGATGTTAGAGGCCAAAATATTTGAAAGTCCAAAGCATAATACAAATGTTGATGAGTTGGTGAAATCAAAAAGTATATATAGCCTAATCTGGACAAGGAATGCATGAGGACGATTCATGCTTTATTTTAGAATAAGTTCAATTTTTTATAACTGCAAATTTAAATTAAACAATATCCATATGTTCACGCAAATACCCTCTTGACCTGTTTTAGATTTATTGCCAACTTATTAAATGTGACTTATTTTGTTTACTAGTGTTTCTATACTAGGCTGGTAAAGTGAATTACAAAAACAAATATCAATAGCAAGTTCTTCTTTCAAAAAAAATAAATTCTAAAGACCCTTTTCAATTTATTCCCCTTGGAATGTAAGATTTAACAACTGTTAACAGTTTCGGACTGTTAAAAGTATAAGATTTAGGTTAAAAGTATAAAATTGACCTGTAAGAGTAGATGTATGTCATTTGAAAATTTGAGATAAATCTAATTATATTGTAGTTGGAATATTCCACCATTGAAGGTGCATATACATCATGGTGTGGGATACAGGATCTTTACAGTGTATTTATCTGTCAACTTTTTATGTTTAACAGGAGAATGTTGAGACACGACGTGAAGAGCTTTACAGTGGAATTGAGGAGTTGTTTAAAGACCATGAGGGACAACATCATCTGGTCTTTAGGCCTCTAATATTTGTCAATGCAAAAGATCAAGCTGACCAAGAAATAGAAGTTCTAAAGAAAACAATTACAGAACTTACATTCGACCACCCATGCTGGGGTGAAAGAATGCCCAATGCTTGTGTTCCACTAGAGCTAGAGATCGCTGAACTAGTGGCAGAAGGAAAACAAATAATGTCATTGGCTGAAGTTAAAGAATTAAATGCTATCAGCGAGGTGTCTGTCCTGTCCCCTGAGCAGTTGACTGATTTCCTACATTTTCATCATTCTCTTGGGAAGATTGTTTATTTTGATACCCCCCAGCTGAGAGATAATGTAATGATCAACCCCCTTCTTATGGTGGAAGTTATGCGATCTTTTATCACAGGTGTGTATGTATTTTCATTGTGTAGGCCTGTAGTGAATATATATTGCAGGTAAAACTGTTCCAATATCCAAAAAGTGTTTACCTACCTTTTATAAGAGCATGACAGACTGTTTGACAATGTCTTATACTAATATTTGTGTTGGTATGTGAGAACTTTTATGTAATATGATTAGTAAAATAAAATAATCTTTTTTTGTCCACAGTGTTAATAATTGAGAAATGCATGCAATTGTTTAACAGATTTCTGAATGAAAATATTGGTTTTTTAATTGGTGATGTACGGCAGCAGGCAACCGAGCAGTTTACTCAGATACTTAGATCAAATTTGAATTGTGTGGCGTCACTTTTACTATACTAGAGTTATGTCCCTTTATAAATGGGTAAATTGCTGAATTTTTTGTTTCCATTTCCTTACTTAAGTTTGCCTCAACCAAACTTTATGAATTCTATACAAAATGCTTATTACCACAAAACAAAGATCAAGTTTGAATTTTGGTGCCGTCTCTTTTACCGTTCTAGAGTTGTGCCTTTTACAAATGGAAAAAATGCGTAATTTTTCGTTTCTGTTCTCCGACTTAAGTTTACTTCAACGAAATTTTATGAAACTTAAATATAATGCTTATTACCAAAAAAAGCAGATCAATTACAAATTTGGGTAGCGTCTCTTTTACCGTAATATGCAAGCTGGGGCATCATCTGTGTCCCATAGACACATTCCCCATTTAGTTTTTTTTTTCAATTTAAACTGAAACTGATATTTATTAAGTATAAAGGTATCGGTATAACTATAGAACTACATGGTTTCAAAATATAAAATATATTTGAACAATGCTAAAAAACTTTGAGAATGCAAGTAGTTCTATGTCGTTATGAGTTGATTACCAACACAATTCTGTTTTGAGACAATGTGTTGTTGTTATATATTTAAACTGAAACTCTTATATCGGGCTGTTTATAGAAAGTGAATGTATACATGGTTAGTGTGACATTCATTTTCACTAAACTAGCATACATTATTGTTTAGGTACCAGCTGATGCACACCTCCGGTTGCGAGATTTTTTTCCATGTGTTGGTGGCCTTTGGCTGTTTTCTGCATTTTGGTCGGGTACTTGTCTCTTTAGCGCATTCCATGTTTCTATTTTCAATTTTGTTGCAGGATCAATGCATTTTGACCACAAATATAACACAATTACAGAATGGTGTAAGTGCCCATATTGATGCCTAGTGTAACAAATTATTCATTGGTTCCCATTTTTGAAATATTTGTCAAAAGATACAACAAGCTTTATACAAAGATTTTAATGAAACTTGTATTTTGATGGAAGATATCCTGGATTAATCAATAGTCTGAAAGTCTACGGTCATTTATTCTCCATGATCATGAACTATCAACTATTCATGTTTAGTTCTTGCATCATGTTGTAACTGCGTCACTTTCTATTTATATTGGGAACATATTTCATCCTGAAATCTGAACCTCATCAATGGAGCATGAATTCCCTGCTAAATTAAACTAATAGTTCCAAACGGTGAAGTTGAAATCATCCCTAAGTAATTTTTATGGACACCATCACAAGTTGGTTGACCGTTATGAAATATTCGTTTCACAGATGATAACGGATATGTTCCTTATGTCGTATCTATAATCCCGTACCCTTTTCTCGAATTTAACCTACCAAATTAAACTTGGTACCACTTTTGTACTAACATGAGCAACACGGTGGGTGCCACATGTGGAGCCAGATCTGCTTGCCCCTGCTAAGCAACTGAGATCACCTCAAGTTTTTGGTGAGGTTATTATTGCTTAGTCTTTAGTTTTCTATGTTGTGTTCTCTGTACTATTGTTTGTCTGTTTGTCTTTTTCTTTTTTAGCCATGGAAATGTCAGTTTATGAGTTTGAATGTCCCTCTGGTATATTTTGCCCCTATTTTATAATATTATATTTGTCTGTTTGTCTTGTTCTTTTTTAGCCATGGCGATGTCAGTTTACGAGTTTGAATGTCCCTCTGGTATATTTCGCCCCTATTTTATAATATCATATTTGTCTGTTTGTCTTTTTCTTTTTTAGCCATGGCGATGTCAGTTTATGAGTTTGAATGTCCCTCTGGTATATTTCGCCCCTATTTTATAATATCATATTTTTCTGTTTGTCTTTTTCTTTTTTAGCCATGGCAATGTAAGTTTATGAGTTTGATTGTCCCTCTGATATCTTTCGCCCCTATTTTATAATATCATATTTGTCTATTTGTCTTTTTCTTTTTTAGCTGTGGCGATGTCAGTTTATGAGTTTGAATGTCCCTCTGGTATATTTTGCCCCTATTTTACAATATCATATTTGTCTGTTTGTCTTTTTCTTTTTTAGCTGTGGCGATGTCAGTTTATGAGTTTGAATGTCCCTCTGGTATATTTTGCCCCTATTTTATAATATCATATTTGTCTGTTTGTTTTTTTCTTTTTAAGCCATGGCTTTGTCAGTTTATGAGTATGAATGTCCCTCTGGTATATTTCACCCCTATTTTATAATATTATATTTGTCTGTTTGTTTTTTTCTTTTTTAGACATGGCGATGTCAGTTTATGAGTTTGAATGTCCCTCTGGTATATTTCGCCACTATTTTATAATATCATATTTGTCTGTTTGTCTTTTTCTTTTTTAGCCATGGCGATGTCAGTTTATGAGTTTGAATGTCCCTCTGGTATATTTCGCCCCTATTTTATAATATCATATTTGTCTGTTTGTCTTGTTCTTTTTTAGCCATGGCGATGTCAGTTTATGAGTTTGAATGTCCCTCTGGTATCTTTCGCCCATATTTTATAATATCATATTTGTCTGTTTGTCTTTTTCTTTTTTAGCCATGGCGATGTAAGTTTATGAGTTTGAATGTCCCTCTGGTATATTTTGCCCCTATTTTATAATATCATATTTGTCTGTTTGTCTTTTTCTTTTTTAGACATGGCGATGTCAGTTTATGAGTTTGAATGTCCCTCTGGTATATTTCGCCACTATTTTATAATATGATATTTTTCTGTTTGTCTTTTTCTTTTTTAGCCATGGCTATGTCAGTTTATGAGTATGAATGTCCCTCTGGTATATTTCGCCCCTATTTTATAATATTATATTTGTCTGTTTGTCTTTTTCTTTTTTCGACATGGCTATGTCAGTTTATGAGTTTGAATGTCCCTCTGGTATATTTTGCCCCTATTTTATAATATTATATTTGTCTGTTTGTCTTTTTCTTTTTTCGACATGGCTATGTCAGTTTATGAGTTTGAATGTCCCTCTGGTATATTTCGCCCCTATTTTATAATATTATATTTGTCTGTTTGTCTTTTTCTTTTTTCGACATGGCTATGTCAGTTTATGAGTTTGAATGTCCCTCTGGTATATTTCGCCACTATTTTATAATATCATATTTGTCTGTTTGTCTTTTTCTTTTTTAGCCATGGCGATGTCAGTTTATGAGTTTGAATGTCCCTCTGGTATATTTCGCCCCTATTTTTTAATATCATATTTGTCTGTTTGTCGTTTTCTTTTTATACGACCGCAAAAAAATTTTTGTGGTCGTATATTGGTATGATGTTGGCGTCGTCGTCGTCGTCCGGCGTTCTACATCCGAAGACACATTAGTTTTCGCACTCTAACTTTAGTTTAAGTGAATGGATCTCTATGAAATTTTACCATAAGGTTTAATACCACAAAAGGAAGGTGGGGATTGATTTTGGGGGTTATGGTACCAACAGTTAAGGATTTGGGGCCAAAAAGGGGCCAAAAATAAGCATTTTCTAGTTTCCAGACAATAACTGTGGAACGGTGTATGGATCTCTCTGAAATTATACTACAAGTTTCCATACCACAAAGGGATGGTTAGGATTTGCTTTGGGGGGTTATTGCTCAAACCATTTAAGAATTAGGGGCAAAAAAGGGGGAAAAACAAGGTTGTCCTCATTAATGGACAAATACTTTAGTACAAAACATAATTTAAAGCAGTGTAAGGGAGATAAATCAAATACATAATTGAAATTATCTCCCTTACACTGCTTTTAAATTATGTATAAAGTAATGGTTAATGAACAATAAAGATAATTTAAAACAGTGTAAGGGAGGTAATCCAAATACAATGTTTTGGTTACTTCCCTTACACTGCTTTTAAATTATGTTTAAAGAAATGCATATTTATAAAGGAAGACCAGTATGGCGCATTAGATTTGTAAAATCTATGACCACATTTATTTGTTATGCCGAATCTAACCGTGTATTTAGATTTTTAATTTTGGGTCCAGTTTTCAAATTGGTCTACATTAAGGTCCAAAGGGTCCAAAATTAAACTTTGTTTGATTTTAACAAAAATTGAATATATGGGGTTCTTTTATATGCTGAATCTAAACATGTATTTAGATTTTAGATTTTTGGCCCAGTTTTCAAGTTGGTCCAAATTGGGGTCCAAAATTAAACTTTGTTTGATTTCAACAAAAATTGAATATATGGGGTTCTTTGATATGCTGAATCTTACCATGTATTTAGATTTTTTATTTGTGGGCCCGCTATCAAATTGGTTCATATTGAGGTCAAAAGGGTCCAAAATTAAACTTTGTTTGATTTCATCAAAAATTTAATTATTTGGGTTCTTTGATATGCCAAATCTAACCGTGTATTTAGATTTTTAATTTTGGGTCCCGTTTTTATACGACCGCAAAAAAAATTTTGTGGTCGTATATTGGTACGACGTCGTCGTCGTCGTCTGGCGTCGTCCGAAGACACATTGGTTTTCGCACTCTAACTTTAGTTTAAGTGAATGGATCTCTATGAAATTTTACCACAAGGTTCAAAACCACAAAAGGAAGGTTGGGATTGATTTTGGGGTTTATGGTACCAACAGTAAAGGAATTAGGGGCCAAAAAGGGGCCAAAAATAAGCATTTTTGTAACTTCCAGACATAACTTGTGTGTTAGTGTATGGATCTCTCTGACATTGTACCACAAGGTTCCATATCACAAAAGGAATGCTGGGATTGATTTTGGGGGTAATTGCCTCAAAATTTTAGGAATTAGGGGCCAAAAAAGGGGCAAAAAACAAGCATTTTTCTAGTTTCATGACAATAACTTGTGTGTAAGTGTATGGAACTTTCTGAAATTGTACTACAAGGTTCCATATCACAAAGGGAAAGCTGGAATTGAGTTTGGGGGTAATTGCCGAAACGTTTAGGAATTGGGGGCCAAAAAGGGGCCAAAAATAAGCATTTTTCTAGTTTCCAGACAATAACTTGTGTTCAAGTGTATGGATCTCTCTGAAATTGTACTGCAAGGTACCATACCACAAAGGGAAGGCTGGGATTGATGATGGGGGTAATTGCCTCAATATTTTAGGAATTAGGGGCCAAAAAGGGGCAAAAAACAAGCATTTTTCTAGTTTCAGGACAATAACTTGTGTGTAAGTGTATGGATCTCTCTGAAATTGTACTAAAATTGAGAATGGAAATGGGGAATGTGTCAAAGAGACAACAACCCGACCACAGAACAGACAACAGCAGAAGGCCACCAACAGGTCTTCAATGCAGCGAGAAATTCCCGCACCCGGAGGCGTCCTTCAGCTGGCCCCTAAACAAATATATATACTCGTTCAGTGATAATGAACGCCATACTAAACTCCAAATTGTACACAAGAAACTAAAATTAAAAATAATACAAGACTAACAAAGGCTAGAGGCTCCTGACTTGGGACAGGCGCAAAAATGCGGCGGGGTTAAACATGTTTATGAGATCTCAACCCTCCCCCTATACCTCTAGCCAATGTAGAAAAGTAAACGCATAACAATACGCACATTAAAATTCAGTTCAAGAGAAGTCCGAGTCTGATGTCAGAAGATGTAACCAAAGAAAATAAACAAAATGACAATAATACATAAATAACAACAGACTACTAGCAGTTAACTGACATGCCAGCTCCAGACTTCAATTAAACTGATTGAAAGATTATGTCTTCATCATATGAATATCAGGGTTCCATATCACAACGGGAAAGCTGGGTTTGAGTTTGGGGGTAATTGCCCTAAACGTTTAGGAATTTGGGGCCAAAAAGGGGCCAAAAAACACATTTTTCTAGTTTCCTGACAATAACTTGTGTTCAAGTGTATGGATCTCTCTGAAATTGTACTGCAAGGTACCATACCACAAAGGGAAGGCTGGGATTGAGTTTGGGGGTGATGAATCATAAGGGGGTTCAAAAAATTTGGGGGGGGATTTTTTTTTTTTCCTTTTTTTTCTTTTTTTCCTTTTTTTTTTCTTTTAAAATTTTCCATTTTAAGTTGGTTATTTCTGATTTATATTTAAAAGCAAATAATAATGATATGGGAGGAGATACACACAAAACAGGATGTGTAAATTATTATATAATAAGTATTGTGCAATAGCAAGAAATTTTCAATTGCACAGTATTGCACAATAGCAAGAAATCTTCAATTGCACAGTATTGCGCAATAGCAAGAAATCTTCAATTGCACAGTATTGCCCAATAGCAAGAAATATCCAATAGCACAATATTGCGCAATAGCAAGAAATTGTCAATTGTACAGTATTGCGCAATAGCAAGAAATATTTAATTGCACAGTATTGTGCAAAAGAAGATACTTCGTATAAATTGCTTAGTTCTTGACCAATTTCAATGGGGTTTTATTCTTGGAATTCTTGGGGTTCTTTAATATGCTGAATCTAACCGTGTATTTAGTTTTTGGATTTTGGGCCCCGTTTTAAAATTGGTCCACATTGAGGTCCAAAGGGTCCAAAATTAAACTTTGTTTGATTTCATCAAAAATTGAATTATTGGGGTTCTTTGATATGCTGAATCTAACCATGTATTTAGATTCTTTGTTTTTGGTTCGGTTTTCAAATTGATCTACATTAAGGTCCAAAGGGTCCAAAATTAAACTTAGTTTGATTTTAACAAAAGTTGAATTCTTAGGGTTCTTTGATATGCTGAATCTTAACATGTATTTAGATTTTTGATTATGGGCCCAGTTTTCAAGTTGGTCCAAATCGGGGTCCAAAATTTAACTTTGTTTGATTTCAACAAAAATTGAATATATGGGGTTCTTTGATATGCTGAATCTAACCATGTATTTAGATTTTTGATTTTTGGGCCCCGTTATCAACTTTGTCCACATTGAGGTCAAAAGGGTCCAAAATTAAACTTCGTTTGATTTCATCAAAAATTAATTCTTGGGGTTCTTTGATATGCTCAACCATGTATTTAGATTTTGGATATTGGACCATAATAGGTGAATGTCCAATTTAAAATTTTTAGACCACATTCATTCTGTGTCAGAAACCTATGCTGTGTCAAATGTTTAATCACAATCCAAATGCAAAGCTGTATCAAGCTTGAATGTTGTGTCCATACTTGCCCCAACTGTTCAGGGTTCGACCTCTGCGGTCGTATCAAGCTGCGCCCTGCGGAGCATTTTTTCAAATTGGTCTACATTAAGGTCCAAAGGGTCCAAAATTAAACTTAGTTTGATTTTAACAAAAATTGAATTTTTGGGGTTCTTTGATATGCTGAATCTAAACATGTGTTTAGATTTTTGATTACGGGCCCAGTTTTCAAGCTGGTCCAAGTTGGGGTCCAAATTTTAACTTTGTTTGATTTCAACAAAAATTGAATATATGGGGTTCTTTGATATGCTGAATCTAAAAATGTATTTAGATTTTAGATTTTTGGCCCAGTTTTCAAGTTGGTCCAAATTGGGGTCCAAAATTAAACTTTGTTTGATATCAACAAAAATTGAATATATGGGGTTCTTTGATATGCTGAATCTTACCATGTATTTAGATTTTTTATTAGTGGGCCCGCTATCATATTGGTTCATATTGAGGTCAAAAGGGTCCAAATTAAACTTTGTTTGATTTCATCAAAAATTGAATTATTGGGGTTCTTTGATATGCCAAATCTAACCGTGTTTTTAGATTTTTAATTTTGGGTCCCGTTTTTTAAATTGGTCTACATTAAGGTCCAAAGGGTCCAAAATTAAACTTAGTTTGATTTTAACAAAAATTGAATTCTTGGGGTACTTTGATATGCTGAATCTAAACATGTGTTTAGATTTTTGATTATGGGACCAGTTTTCAAGTTTGTCCAAGTTGGGGTCCAAAATTAAACTTTTTTTGATTTCAACAAAAATTGAATATATGGGGTTCTTTGATATGCTGAATCTAACCATGTATTTTGATTTTGGACATTGGACCATAATAGGTAAATTAAAAAAATTGAAGTTCTAAGACCACATTCTTTCTGCGTCAGAAACCTATGCTGTGTCAAATATTTAATCACAATCCAAATTCAGAGCTGTATCAAGCTTGAATGTTGTGTCCATACTTGCCCAAACTGATCAGGGTTTGACCTCTGGTCGTATCAAGCTGCGCCCAGCAAAGCATTTTATTTAGACATGGCGATGTCAGTTTATGAGTTTGAATGTCCCTCTGGTATATTTCGCCCCTATTTTACAATATCATATTTGTCTGTTTGTCTTTTTCTTTTTTGGCCATGGCAATGTCAGTTTATGAGTTTGAATGTCCGTCTGGTATCTTTCGCCCCTATTTTTTAATATCATATTTGTCTGTTTGTCTTTTTCTTTTTTAGCCATGGCGATGTATGTTTATCAGTTTGAATGTCCCTCTGGTATCTTTCGCCCCTATTTTATAATATCATATTTGTCTGTTTGTCTTTTTCTTTTTTTAGCCATGGCGATGTCTTTTTATGAGTTTGAATGTCCCTCTGGTATATTTCGCCCCTATTTTATAATATCATATTTGTCTGCTTGTCTTTTATTAGCTCACCGGGGCCTGAAGGGCCCCATGTGAGCTTATGCCATCACTTGGCGTCCGTCTTCGTCCATTGTCTGTCTTCGTCGTCGTCTGTAGTCGTAAACTATTTCAAAAATCTTCTCCTCTGAAACTACTGGGCCAAATACCTTCAAACTTTAACTAAATGTTCCTTAGGGTATTTAGTTTATAAATTGTATCCGAAGTTTTGATCCATCGACAAACATGGCTGCCATGGCTAAAAATAGAACATAGGGGTCAAATGCAGTTTTTGGCTTATATCTCAAAAACTAAAGCTTTTAGAGCAAATCTGACGTGGGGTAAAATTGTTCAGTTGGTCAAGATCTATCAGCTCTGAAATTTTCAGACGAATCAAACAACCCATTGTTATGTTGCTGCCACCTAATTGGTAGTTTTAACAAAATTTTGCAGTTTTTATACGACCGCAAAAAAATTTTTGTGGTCGTATATTGGTATGACGTTGGGGTCGTCGTCGTTGTCGTCGTCCGAAGACACATTGGTTTTCGCACTCTAACTTTAGTTTAAGTGAATGGATCTTTTTGAAATTTGACCATAAGGTTAAATACCACAAAAGGAAGGTGGGGATTGATTTTGGGGGTTATGGTACCAACAGTTAAGGAATTAGGGCCAAAAAGGGGCCAAAAATAAGCATTTTCTAGTTTCCAGACAATAACTGTGGAACGGTGTATGGATCTCTCTGAAATTATACTACAAGTTTCCATACCACAAAGGGATGGTTAGGATTTGCTTTGGGGGGTTATGGCTCAAACCGTTTAGGAATTAGGGGCAAAAAAGGGGGAAAAACAAGGTTGTCCTGGTTAATGGACAAATACTTTAGTACAAAACATAATTTAAAGCAGTGTAAGGGAGATAAATCAAATACATCATTGAAATTATCTCCCTTACACTGCTTTTAAATTATGTATAAAGTAATGGTTAATGAACAATAAAGATAATTTAAAACAGTGTAAGGGAGGTAATCCAAATACAACGTTTTGGTTACTTCCCTTACACTGCTTTTAAATTATGTTTAAAGAAATGCATATTTATAAAGGAAGACCAGTAAAAATATCTGCAAATGTTGCATCTTTTTTTTTACAAAAAAATCCATATAAAAGATTTGACACTATATTTTTAATTCTATTATAAAATAGATAAAGTTAGCACTATGGTAAATTTAAATGGGTAATTATGGTTGCCAACTCCATTGGAAATTTGAATTGAGATTATGACCATATCTTGAGGGAAAGAATTTTTTGGGGAAAAAAAGGGGGGGGGGGGGATAAAAAGAAATTGTGGGGGGTCAATTTTTTCTCATTTCAGATTTTAGAAATTAAAAAGAATTATTCTTCAAATATTATTTTTTTTTCAAATTTCAAATATTGAAAAATTTCAAGAAGTAATCTTTAATTGCACAGTATGGGGCATTAGATTTGGAAAATCTTTGATCACATTTATTTATTTGTTATGCCGAATCTAACAGTGTATTTAGATTTTTAATTTTGGGTCCAGTTTTCAAATTGGTCTACATTAAGGTCCAAAGGGTCCAAAATTAAACTTCGTTTGATTTTAGCAAAAATTGAATATATGAGGTTCTTTGATATGCTGAATCTAAACATGTATTTAGATTTTTGATTTTTGGCCCAGTTTTCAAGTTGGTCCAAATTGGGGTCCAAAATTAAACTTTGTTTGATTTCAACAAAAATTGAATATATGGGGTTCTTTGATATGCTGAATCTAACCATGTATTTAGATTTTTTATTTGTGTACCCCGTTATCAAATTGGTTCATATTGAGGTCAAAAGGGTCCAAAATTAAACTTTGTTTGATTTCATCTAAAATTGAATTATTGGGGTTCTTTGATATTCCAAATCTAACCATGTATTTAGATTTTTAATTTTGGGTCCTGTTTTTCAAATTGGTCTACATTAAGGTCCAAAGGTTCCAAAATTAAACTTAGTTTGATTTTAACAAAAATTGAATTCTTTGGGTTCTTTGATATGCTGAATCTAAACATGTGTTTAGATTTTTGATTATGGGCCCAGTTTTCAAGTTGGTCCAAGATAGGGTCCAGTATTTAATCTTTGTTTGATTTTAACAAAAATTGAATATATGGGGTTCTTTGATATGCTGAATCTAAACATGTATTTAGATTTTTGATTATGGGCCCAGTTTTCAAGTTGGTCCAAATTGGGGTCCAAAATTAAACTTTGTTTGATTTCAACAAAAATTGAACATATGAGGTTCTCTGATATGCTGAATCTTACCATGTATTTAGATGTTTTATTTGTGGGCCCCGCTATCAAATTGGTTCATATTGAGGTCAAAAGGGTCCAAAATTAAACTTTGTTTGATTTCATCAAAAATTGAATTATTGGGGTTCTTTGATATGCCAAATCTAACCGTGTTTTTAGATTTTTAATTTGGGTCCCGTTTTTTAAATTGGTCTTCATTGAGGTCCAAAGGGTCCAAAATTAAACTTAGTTTGATTTTAACAAAAATTGAATTCTTGGGGTTCTTTGAAATGCTGATTCTAAACATGTGTTTAGATTTTTGATTATGGGCCCAGTTTTCAAGTTGGTCCAAGTTGGGGTCCAAAATTAAACTTTGTTTGATTTCAACAAAAATTGAACATATGAGGTTCTTTGATATGCTGAATCTTACCATGTATTTAGATGTTTTATTTGTGGGCCCCGCTATCAAATTGGTTCATATTGAGGTCAAAAGGGTCCAAAATTAAACTTTGTTTGATTTCATCAAAAATTGAATTATTGGGGTTCTTTGATATGCCAAATCTAACCGTGTTTTTAGATTTTTAATTTGGGTCCCGTTTTTTAAATTGGTCTTCATTGAGGTCCAAAGGGTCCAAAATTAAACTTAGTTTGATTTTAACAAAAATTGAATTCTTGGGGTTCTTTGATATGCTGATTCTAAACATGTGTTTAGATTTTTGATTATGGGCCCAGTTTTCAAGTTGGTCCAAGTTGGGGTCCAAAATTAAACTTTGTTTGATTTCAACAAAAATTGAACATATGAGGTTCTTTGATATGCTGAATCTTACCATGTATTTAGATGTTTTATTTGTGGGCCCCGCTATCAAATTGGTTCATATTGAGGTCAAAAGGGTCCAAAATTAAACTTTGTTTGATTTCATCAAAAATTGAATTATTGGGGTTCTTTGATATGCCAAATCTAACCGTGTTTTTAGATTTTTAATTTGGGTCCCGTTTTTTAAATTGGTCTTCATTGAGGTCCAAAGGGTCCAAAATTAAACTTAGTTTGATTTTAACAAAAATTGAATTCTTGGGGTTCTTTGATATGCTGATTCTAAACATGTGTTTAGATTTTTTATTATGGGCCCAGTTTTCAAGTTGGTCCAAGTTGGGGTCCAAAATTAAACTTTGTTTGATTTCACCAAAAATTGAATATATGGGGTTCTTTGATATGCTGAATCTAACCATGAATTTAGATTTTTTATTTGTGGGCCCCGCTATCAAATTGGTTTATATTGAGGTCAAAAGGGTCCAAAATTAAACTTTGTTTGATTTCATCAAAAATTGAATTATTGGGGTTCTTTGATATTCCAAATCTAACCGTGTATTTAGATTTTTAATATTAAGTCCCGTTTTTTAAATTGGTCTACATTAAGGTCCAAAGGGTCCAAAATTAAACTTAGTTTGATTTTAGCAAAAATTGAATTCTTGTGGTTCTTTGATATGCTGAATATAAACATGTGTTTAGATTTTTGATTATGGGCCCAGTTTTCAAGTTTGTCCAAGTTGGGGTCCAAAATTAAACTTTGTTTGATTTTAACAAAAATTGAATATATGGGGTTCTTTGATATGCTGAATCTAACCATGTATTTTGATTTTGGACATTGGACCATAATAGGTAAATTAAAAAAATTCAAGTTCTTAGACCACATTCTTTCTGTGTCAGAAACCTATGCTGTGTCAAATATTTAATCACAATCCAAATTCAGAGCTGTATCAAGCTTCAATGTTGTGTCCATACTTGCCCCAACTGTTCAGGGTTCGACGTCTGCGGTCGTATCAAGCTGCGCCCCAGCGAAGCATTTTATTTGTTATTATTTGAATATTATTATAGATATATATAAAGTGTAAGCAGCAATAATGTTCAGCTAAGTAAGATCTACAAAAAGTTAATATGACCATAATTGTCAATTGACCCCTTAAGGAGTTATTGCCCTTTAAAGACAATTTTACACAATTTGTTCATCAAGTTTGCTAACATTTAAAAATTTTCTCCTCTGAAACTACTGGGCCAATTACCCTCAACTTTTACTAAATGTTCCTTAGGGTATCTTGTTTATAAATTGTATCCGAAGTTTTGATCTAAAAATAGAACATAAGGGTCAAATGCAGTTTTTGGCTTATATCTCAAAAACTAAATCTTTTAGAGCAAATGTGACATGGGGTAAAATTGTTCAGTTGGTCAAGATCTATCAGCTCTGAAATTTTCAGACGAATCGAACAACCCATTGTTGGGTTGCTGCCACCCAATTGGTAGTTTTAACAAAATTTTGCAGTTTTTATACGACCGCAAAAATTTTTGTGGTCGTATATTGGTATGACGTTGGCGTCGTCGTTGTCGTCGTTGTCCGAAGACACATTGGTTTTCGCACTCTAACTTTAGTTTAAGTGAATGGATCTCTATGAAATTTTACCACAAGGTTCAATACCACAAAAGGAAGGTGGGGATTGATTTTGGGGGTTATGGTACCAACAGTTAGGAATGAGGGGCCAAAAAGGGGCCACAAATAAGCATTTTTGTAACTTCCAGACATAACTTGTGTGTTAGTGTATGGATCTCTCTGACATTGTACCATAAGGTTCCATATCACAAAGGGAATGCTGGGATTGATTTTGGGGGTAATTGCCTCAAAATTTTAGGAATTAGGGGCCAAAAAAGGCAAAAAACAAGCATTTTTCTAGTTTCATAACAATAACCTGTGTGTAAGTGTATGGATCTTTCTGAAATTGTACTACAAGGTTCCATATCACAAAGGGAAAGCTGGAATTGAGTTTGGGGGTAATTGCCGAAACGTTTAGGAATTGGGGCCAAAAAGGGGCCAAAAATAAGCATTTTTCTAGTTTCCAGACAATAACTTGTGTTCAAGTGTATGGATCTCTCTGAAATTGTACTGCAAGGTTCCATATCACAAAGGGAAAGCTGGGTTTGAGTTTCGGGGTAATTCCCCTAAATGTTTAGGAATTTGGGGCCAAAAAGGGGCCAAAAACACATTTTTGTCGAGCCTGCGACTTTTGTCGCAGAAAGCTCGACATAGGGATAGTGATCCGGCGGCCCAGCGGCATTGGCTAACTTCTTAAAATCTTTATATTTTAGAAGATGGAAGACCTGGATGCTTCATACTTTGTATATGGATGCTTCATGTTACGAAGTTTCCGTCAGTCACATGTCCAATGTCCTTGACCTCATTTTCATGGTTCAGTGACAACTTGAAAAAAAAGTTCAGATTTTTTGTAATGTTAAATTCTCTCTTATTATAAGTAATAGGATAACTATATTTGGTATGTGCGTACCTTGCAAGGTCCTCATGCCCGTCAGACAGTTTTCACTTGACCTCGACCTCACTTCATGGATCAGTGAACAAGGTTAAGTTTTCGTGGTCAAGTCCATAGCTCAGATACTATAAGCAATAGGTCTAGTATATTCGGTGTATGGAAGGACTGTAAGGTGTACATGTCCAACTGGCAGGTGTCATCTGACCTTGACCTCATTTTCATGGTTCAGTGGTTATGGTTAAGTTTTTGTGTTTTGGTCTGTTTTTCTTATACTGTATGCAATAGGTCTACTATATTTGGTGTATGGAATGATTGTAAGGTGTACATGTCTAGCTGGCAGGTGTCATCTGACCTTGACCTCATTTTCATGGTTCAGTGGTTATAGTTAAGTTTTTGTGTTTTGGTCTGTTTTTCTTATTCTGTATGCAATAGGTCTATTATATTTGGTGTATGGAATGATTGTAAGGTGTACATGTCTAGCTGGCAGGTGTCATCTGACCTTGACCTCATTTTCATGGTTCAGTGGTCAAAGTTAAGTTTTTGAGTTTTGGTCTTTTTTTCTAATACTGCATGCAATAGGTCAGCTATATTTGGTGTATGGAATGATTGTAAGGTGTACATGTCCAACTGGCAGGTGTCATCTTACCTTGACCTCATTTTCATGGTTCAGTGGTCAAAGTTAAGTTTTTGAGTTTTGGTATTTTTTTCTAATACTATATGCAATAGTTCAACTATATTTGGTGTATGGAAATATTTTATGATCTATATGTCAGTCACGCAGGTTTTATTTGACCTTGACCTCATTTTCAAGGTTCATTGCTCAGTGTTAAGTTTTTGTGTTTTCGTCTGTTTTTCTTAAACTATAAGCAATAGGTCAACTATATTTGTTGTATGGAAGAATTGTTAGCTGTACATGCCTGCCTAGCATGGTTCATCTGACCTTGACCTCATTTTCATGGTTCATTGGTCAATGTTTAGTTTACTTGGTTAATGTTAAGTTTATGTGACAGTTGTAATAAAGCTTTATATTTAGGACTATCAACATAATATCAATGATTAGTAAAGAAGGCGAGACATTTCAGCGTGTGCACTCTTGTTCTAGTTTCCAGACAATAACTTGTGTTCAAGTGTATGGATCTCTCTGAAATTGTACTGCAAGGTACCATACCACAAAGGGAAGGCTGGGATTGAGTTTGGGGGTGATGAATCATAAGGGGGTTCAAAAAATTTGGGGGGGGGGGGGGTTTCCTTTTTTTTTCTTTTAAAATTTTCCATTTTAAGTTGGTTGTTTCTGATTTATATTTAAAAGCAAATAATAATGATATGGTAGGAGAAATACACCAAACAGGATGTGTAAATTATTATATAATAAGTATTGTGCAATAACAAGAAATTTTCAATTGCACAGTATTGCACAATAGCAAGAAATCTTCAATTGCACAGTATTGCGCAATAGCAAGAAATCTTCAATTGCACAGTATTGCGCAAAAGCAAGAAATATCCAATAACACAATATTGCGCAATAGCAAGAAATTGTCAATTGTACAGTATTGCACAATAGCAAGAAATATTTAATTGCACAGTATTGTGCAAAAGAAGATACTTCGTATAAATTGCTTATTTCTTGACCAATTTCAATGGGGTTTTATTCTTGAATTCTTGGGGTTCTTTAATATGCTGAATCTAACTGTGTATTTAGTTTTTGGATTTTGGGCCCCGTTTTTAAATTGGTCCACATTGAGGTCCAAAGGGTCCAAAATTAAACTTTGTTTGATTTCATCAAAAATTAAATTATTGGGGTTCTTTGATATGCCGAATCTAACCGTGTATTTAGATTCTTAATTTTTGGTTCCGTTTTCAAATTGGTCTACATTAAGGTCCAAAGGGTCCAAAATTAAACTTAGTTTGATTTTAACAAAAATTGAATTCTTAGGGTTCTTTGATATGCTGAATCTAAACATGTATTTAGATTTTTGATTATGGGCCCAGTTTTCAAGTTGGTCCAAATCGGGGTCCAAAATTAAACTTTGTTTGATTTCAACAAAAATTGAATATATGGGGTTCTTTGATATGCTGAATCTAACCATGTATTTAGATTTTTGATTTTTGGGCCACGTTATCAACTTTGTCCACATTGAGGTCAAAAGGGTCCAAAATTAAACTTTGTTTGATTTCATCAAATATTGAATTCTTGGGGTTCTTTGATATGCTGAATTTAACCATGAATTTAGATTTTGGATATTGGACCATAATAGGTGAATGTCCAATTTAAAATTTTTAAGTTCTTAGACCACATTCATTCTGTGTCAGAAAGCTATGCTGTGTCAAATATTTAATCACAATCCAAATGCAAAGCTGTATCAAGCTTGAATGTTGTGTCCATACTTGCCCAAACTGTTCAGGGTTTGACCTTTGCAGTCGTATCAAGCTGCGCCCTGCGGAGCATTTTATTTGTTATTATTTTGACTATTATTATAGATATATATAAACTGTAAGCAGCAATAATGTTCAGCAAAGTAAGATCTACAAATAAGTTAATATGACCAAAATTGTCAATTGACCCCTTAAGGAGTTATTGCCCTTTAAAGACAATTTTACACAATTTGTTCATCAAGTTTGCTAACATTTAAAAATCTTCTCCTCTGAAATGCTGGTGAGCGATTCAGGCTCTTGAGAGCCTCTTGTTTTTTTAGCCATGGCAATGTCAGTTTATGAGTTTGAATGTCCCTCTGGTATCTTTCGCCTCTATTTTATAATATCATATTTGTCTGTTTGTCTTTTTCTTTTTTAGCCATGGCGATGTAAGTTTATGAGTTTGATTGTCCCTCTGGTATCTTTCGCCCCTATTCTATAATATCATATTTGTCTGTTTGTCTTGTTCTTTTTTTAGCCATGGCGATGTCTTTTTATGAGTTTGAATGTCCCTCTGGTATATTTCGCCCCTATTTTATAATATCATATTTGTCTGTTTGTCTTTTATTAGCTCCCGGGGCCCGAAGGGCCCCATGTGAGCTTATGCCATCACTTGGCGTCCGTCGTCGTCCATTGTCTGTCTTCGTCGTCGTCTGTCGTCGTAAACTATTTCAAAAATCTTCTCCTCTGAAACTACTGGGCCAAATACCTTCAAACTTTAACTAAATGTTCCTTAGGGTATTTAGTTTATAAATTGTATCCGAAGTTTTGATCCATCGACAAACATGGCTGCCATGGCTAAAAATAGAACATAGGGATCAAATGCAGTTTTTGGCTTATATCTCAAAAACTAAAGCTTTTAGAGCAAATCTGACATGGGGTAAAATTGTTCAGTTGGTCAAGATCTATCAGCTCTGAAATTTTCAGACGAATCAAACAACCCATTGTTATGTTGCTGCCACCGAATTGGTAGTTTTAACAAAATTTTGCAGTTTTTTGTTATTATTTGAATATTATTATAGATATATATAAAATGTAAGCAGGAATAATGTTCAGCAAAGTAAGATCTACAAAAAGTTAATATGACCATAATTGTCAATTGACCCCTGAAGGAGTTATTGCCCTTTAAAGA